GCTCTTTCTTGACTGAAAATATCGATAATTTTATTGAATATCATCTGCTCCTTTAAATAGAAAATTACAAGAAGATAAGAGTCCTTCTTTAGGAACACTTCCTAACAACATTTATCTTTAAATAATAATAATGCTACTGCCTAATTAATAGGAACACTGAATTTAGCTAAGAGATAACATAGGAACACTGAATCTAGCTAAGAGATAAGATAGGAACACTGAATCTAGCTAAGAGATAAGATAGGAACAGAGATAAGATAGGGACACTGAATTTAGCTAACAGATAGGATAGGAACACTGAATTTTACGCCCATTACTGCTGTTGTTTGCGGCTGTATTTCTTCCAAATAAAAGCATCCACAACAAAGAATGTACAAAATCATTCCTAAGGTGTTGGCCCTAAGAATAAAAATGTCTTTCCCTCAATGATTTTCCCAAATCAGGGGGCCTTTGTTTATGGAAGACAAATAATGGATCAAATTCTCATTGCCAACAAATATGTAGAGTTTAGAAGAAGGGAGAAGCAAAAGGGGGAAGCAGAAGAACTTATGAACCTGAAAAGGATAGTACATAAATCTGAGAGGCTCTCCAACCTTAAAGTGAATTGGAGCAAGAGCTGCATGGTAGGAGTAAATTTAGGGAGTAAAGAAGTGGATTTGCTAGCTAGACAATTGGGGTGTAAAGTAGGGGATTGATCATTACAATATTTGGGATTACCATTGGGAGGAAATCCAAATATAGATAGCTTCTGGTATCTAGTGACTGAGAGATTTATAAAGCGACTTGCGAATTGGAAGAGAAACTACATTTCCCTAGGAGGTAGGACCGTAGGATAACCCTAATTAAGTCAACACTGGCTAACTTACCCGTGTATTTCCTATCTACCTTTAGGATATCAAACTGAGAAGCAACGCATTGTTAGTAAATGGTTATGGAGATTGCCGTTGGAACAAGATAGACTTTGGCATAAGTTGATTGTTAGCATTCATGGATTGGAAGACAATGGTTGGGATGCAGGAATTGACCCTAGGGCTTCTCGGTGTTCTCCCTGGAAAACTATTCATGGTATATTGCCTTCCATCCTTACTTCAAATTTAATGCCTATGCAGGAAACAAAGTGTTGTTTTGGGAAGATGTTTGGGTTGGAGAGGTTCCCCTTAGTGATATGTTCCCTACTTCTATTCACTAACAAAAAATAAAACAAGTGTGATCTCTTCAGATTTTAATTATAATTTATGGGACTTGGGATTGAGGAGAGATCTAAGAGAGTTGGAAATGGCAGTGGTTGATGAACTAGTTACTCTTTTAGGGTCAACCTATATGGATCAATCTTGTTTGGATAGTAGAATTTGGAAACCTTCCCCACCTAGTTTGTTCACTTGTTCCTCTTTCTTTGGTGTCCTCCTTCAGTCAACTAACCCTGCGAGGAACTTTCCTTCAAAGGAGGTTTGGTGTCACCCTGTACGTCCAAAACTTCAAGCTTTATGTTGGGAGGTGGTTCTCCAAAATCAATAATCTAGATGTGTTGCAAAGAAAAAGGCCACATTTTTGCCTTTCAGCCCATGTTTGCAGACTCTACTTGAGTTCTAATGAGAGGATCACACACCTATTAATCTCTTGTCCATTCGCGTGCTTTATCTTTGGTTGCAGGTGGGTACCTCCGGCCTCCCTCAGACATGGAAAGCCTACTTGACCCAAGCTTTTTCAAGCAACCAAATAGGCGTGGAAGATTAATGTGGAGAGCCACAAGAGCAGCTATCCTCTAGTCAATTTGGGAAAAAACAATAGAACCTTTAAAGGAGTGGAGAAATCCAAGTAGGAAACTATAGAAAGAATAACCATTATGACTATTCAATGGTTAAAAACATTGGATTTGTTTAAAGACTTTTCAACTGAGGACATATACAGGAATTGGGGAATGGTGGCAACTACAACTTCCATAAAACCTATTATCCAGGAATTATGATCTCCACCAACACAACAAAGAATGAAATTGAACTTTGATAGAGATGGAAGAATTGTGTCTATGTTTTTGGGACCAATAGGAGTGGGGGACTCATTGAGAGTGGAGGTGATGGCTTTATTTCAAGATGTAAGATATGCCAAACAATTGGGGTTACACCAAGTTGAGATAGAGGGAAACTCTAAATTGTTAAATGATTGGCTGCAATCAAGCAAGTTGGGAACCTGGATTTCTAGACAGTCCATAAGAGAAATCCTCAATATAACAAGGGAGGTTGGTGCTTGCTTCAAATGGACAAAAAGATCAGCTAATGGTTTAGTTGATATGTTGGCTAAACAAGGGACTGTAAGGGAGAGTATGTTCTGGGAAGTTTTGTAATAAATATTACTTGGGGCAACACCTTTTAGGGGTTGACAGCTGTATTTTAATTTTCTATTAATGAAGTTACCATTTCCAATAAAAGAAAGCAATTGAGAATACCCTGATCTAAAAGTTTTGTCCCATGTTTAGGCTCTGAAACCCATTGTAGACATTATCACATTAATACGGGTGCTAAGTAAATAGGAAAGAATGGAATTAGCTATGGATTTCTACAAACAAGAAAATAGTTATAGCCCTAGAGTCAAAAACATTGTTTTTCTGTTGCTAAAACTGCACATGCCAGGTTCAAGGTGGATTGCCTTATCTAACTAAGCAACTTAGACCTTGTTGACTTAAAGCCACATGGCCCCTGTTTGGGAACACTTAAAATAGGTACTTATTCAAATAAGTACTTAATTTAAGTGGTGGACCCACACAATAAGTGGAAAAATAAGCATTTATTCATGTTTGGCAAAAAAAGCCCACATAAGTGCTTATTTTGAAAATAATCATTTAAAAAATAAGCCAGAATTGGGTGGATTTTTTTAAGTGCTCATTCAATAAGTACTTATTTCTTTTTTTGGGACAAGACTGGCCCCAATATTTTGTTCATTTTCAAGGGACTGCCCCCATCTTCAAAAGATCATTGTTCACTTTTCCTCTAGCGAAGACCTGAAGCAGCAGCGGTGATCGAGCACCCTTCCACAGAACTACCGCCACCACCTTCTCTCCCTTCTTCTTCTCTCCTATTCCTTCCTCCACCATTAGAACTGAGTCTTTCTCAAACCACCACAGCCTATCTCTCCTTTTATTTATTTTTTTTAATTTCCCTGTCTTCTTCTTCTCCCTCCTCTCTCTCTCTCTTCTTTCTTTCTTTCCTCCCTTCCTCTCCTTCCCCCCTCTCTTCCTCACACTTCTATTGCAGTAAACGTGGAAATAGGTTTATTTATGGATTAATTAATTATTTTATTTTTTATTTGCCTTTGTGCTCATCCAATATATGATTATGTTAAGTTAGGGCTACAATTGTCATTTCTACAAATATAAGTAATTATGGGATAAGTGACTGACCAAACACTGTAACAGAAATAAGTACTTAAAATAAGTATAAAGTGGTTTGAGAAAAAACCTCCCAAACACTAATAAGTACCCATTCAAATAGGTACATAAAAGTAAGTACTTATTTGTCAATCCTTATCTAATAAGCAACTTTCTGTTAGGAGAGTAGGCCTGCAACTTAAAAGCCTAATAGGAGCAAACCCAATGGACAGAACACCAGGCTAAAACTTCTATTAGCCCACAGGAGCAAAATTGTTAAATTATTGTTTGTATTTTTTTGGTTAGGCAAATCGATTAGTGGTTACTTGGTAGATTGTTAGTAAATGTTGAGAGATTTGAACCAAGAATTGATGTAAACACCCAGACAATTATACAACTCTTGATAACCAGAAACCAAAGCCATTAAAAAAGAAAATAAAGAGAATGAAACCACTGACGAATTCACGAAAGTTTTACCCGAATGACATCAATCCCACTGAAGTCCATCCCGCAACCTCCGTGCTTCAGCATTTGCACAGCAGCATTGGTTTCAGATAGAAGAATCCTGCTTTCCTCGTAGCTCTGATCGAATGACCACAACTTTTCCTGTGAAAGTAGAAAAGATTAAAAAATAAGAAAAGAAAAAACTCAGGACATCAGTAACAGAAATACTAATGTAAGATCGTGGAGTAACTCCGGTAAACCTTTGTTGCTTCTCGACCCAAAGATGTGCCGGCGAAGGAAGCTACGGAATCACAGACCTGGTCCCATTCCAGTACCCTGAGACTATCGCGCTGAATGGATACTTTCGGCGTAAGTCCATTTGAGTTTGCGTCCAATGGTCTGACAAAGGCTCGTGTTTTGAATCGAACAGAGCGAATTGACAAGGTATAAATGATGGAAACGGAATTGCCAAATAGTGCTGCAGAAAGCATTCTGAGGCGTGGCAACGAAGTTCTGTTGCGTGAGGTCGAGATTACAAATGAAACGAGCAGAGAAAAATAGCCTGGAGTCGAGACTCCAGAGACATGGATAAACGTGAAAATGCGTTTGGAAAGGATCGAAATTTCCAGGAAGATTATTCTGTCAAAACGGTAAATTGCATGTTAGTAACTGTATTTTTAAGGTAAGTTTAATTAATGTCTGTAATTAAGGATAAATTGCTGAAACTTCACTAAAGTTTCTGATAATTATAGAGATGTAAATTGTGCCGTGTAGCGGTGGAGGGCCGACACGGCCATGAGAATGTGTTTAGACTTTAGAAACTATCAAAATTTTCTGGAATATTATTCTGTCAAACAAAAGGGTAAGTTGCATGTTAGTACCTATACTTTAATAAGATACATTTAGTTTAGTGCATGAAATTTAGGGTAAATTGCTGAAAACCTCTGAGAAGTTTCTAACCGTTGTTGAAACTTTCTTTGAAGTTTGCTAATTAAAGTCATCTACTTGTATTTTTTAATATAGTTATAGAGGTGTAAATCGGGTCATGTTGGGTTAGCACAATATAGCTAAGTCGGGTCATGCTTCCCTCCCTTGGGATACTTTAGGGAGTCGGCCTAGTTAGACATGTTCATGGGCCAGGCCGGGCCGGGCTTGAGCCGGGCTTTTACTCTTCATTAATGAAAATATGTTAGGCCCGAGCCTAAGCCCGGCCTGACCAACGGACCTACACTTGGGCCTGAGCCCGAGCCCGAAGCCCGACCTAATAAAAAAAATTAGAATTTTTCCCTATTCAATAATCAATATAAATCAGAATTTATTTACATTAAAAAAGAATATAAATTCAGTATAAATTCTGAATTCAATAATCAATATAAATCAGAATTTATTTACATTAAAAAAAAGAATATAAATTCAAAAATTTATTTACATTAAAAAAAGAATATAAAGAAGGAAAAGAGGATGAGGAGAAGAAGGGTTCGGCTGGAAAAATAAGAGAAAGAGGTGAAAAAAAGAGGGGTATTTGACTAGGGTTTTTAGGTTTAATTATAGGTCGAGTCGGGCCGGGCTATTTTGACAAATCCCGAGCCCGGCTCGAATTTATTACGGGTCAAGCTTTTTGGCCCGAGGTTAAGCCCACGGGCCCATATACCTATTCAAGCCCATCTAGGGGCCGAGCCGACCCGTCGGCCCACCCGGCCCATGAACAGGTCTAGGCCTAGTACAGCCCACGACCCGAGCTCATGTAGGCCAATGCCAAGTCAGATCGTATCGTGAGCTTGGGTTGGGCGGGTTGCAAGTCGTGTTGTGGGCCTAGCCATGTCAGATTGGGCTGCAGGCCGAGCCTTGGGCCAAGGTCCGAACCAAGGCAAACTATTTTATTTTTTTTTTGTTTTTTTTTTGACATTTTGATTTTTTTATTTCTTTGTTAAGTAAACACTAAAACTAAAATACTTCACTTTCCTTTAAGCTTTGGGAACAAATTAGAAAAATAAAAAATCTAACAAAGAAATAAAAAAATACTTAAATTCCTAACAAAATACAAAGTGGACAACAAATTGAAAAAAAATAGGAATTTTATTTCTTGAATTTGAACAATATATTATAAAAACATATATTTATTTAATGCATTTTTATTAATTTATAATATATAGAAAATATAATATATATATAATATACCTAAATATATGTAATATATATATATATATATATATGTATACTGATCGGTTTGGTTAATTGTTGGTGTCCTATTTTGGATAACCGAAACCAAACCGGTACCTTTGGTTCTTTTCGGCACGGTTTTGATCATTTTTTCGGTTTGATTCCTTTTCATCTTTTTTTTTTTACTCACCCCTAAGGCTGGTTTCTATTGAAAAAAAGGTAAATTACAAAGATCCCCTTGTACTATGGGGTTAGTGATAAAGACCCATGTACTTTAATTTGCATCAAAGACCCATTGAACTTTAGTCGTTAGACAAAACCCCCCTCCATTAGTGTCTATGAGTTAACTTCGAAAAAGATTTTCATCTAATTATTTAAAAATCTTTAAATTTTCAAACTACATTTTTCTTTAATTTATGAAACCATCTTGCTTTTTTTTTTTTACATTTTGTACTATTCATTGTCTTCTCCATTGAAGTTAACTGAAATGACTATAGTAAAGACAATAGTGAATGCCTAGAGTTTTCAAGTCTGCCTAAAGTTTTCAAAATCCATGACCAATAGGTGAATGCCCCTCTTTAATTAACTCACCAGAGATTTTTTCCTTTTCTAACAGTGAATGTCCCTTTTTTAATTAACTTATCGGAGATTTCTTCCTTTTCCATTAATGACCAGTGGTGAGATGGTAGAAGTATTTCTGGACGAGAAGTAATGGAAGTATTTTTTGGTCATGTTTAAAGAGAAAATGAAGAAGATAAAGAAAATAGAAAACATCTAGTGGGGTATTTTGGTAATTTAAATGTCTTTGACTAAACGACTAAGGGGGTATTTGTCAAACATAAAAGTTCAAGGGTCTTTGTCACAAATTAAAAGTATAAAGGGGTTTTGTCATTAATCCCATAGTATAAGAAGGTCTTTGTAATTTACTCAAAAAGCAGTACAAGCTTTTTGAACAACAAAAAGAAAGAGAATTTAAAGTTGTAGCTTTACCATTGAGTAATTGATATGAAGGGCAAATTTGAAAAATAAATCAATTTAAGAAAACAGATAAGGGTTTGGGGTAGTGATTGATGTGAAGAGAAAATTTGGAAAACAAACTTTTTTGCAAAAAGTAATTCATGGGTATTTTAGACATTTTATGCCTTTTTTTTAGAAAATTCTACTAGAAGGGATCTACTTGCAACGGTCATAAAGTTCAAGAGAAACAATTGCAATTACCAAACTTTAGGGGATGCTTCAATAATAATCAGAAACTTTAGGGAAGGTTTCAACAATTTACCCCTACACTTTAAAACATCTAAATTTCCAAAATCTGTCACTTTAATCCAGTAGCTCACATTTCATCAATTATTTGACACCCGTGATGTCATATACAACTTAAAATATTTTAAAATTTCAAAATTACCCTTGAAAAAGGCATTTCTTCATCATTTTTTCTTTTAGACTGAAACCATAGCATTGGTGATCCTTCGATCCTTCTTCCTTGAGTTTGAAATGCCAACACATATGTGGTTGTGTTTGGTACCATTGTCACTTCTACTTGCAACGTTTTAGGTGGTCAACACAAATTTTATGAGAAAATATTTTTTTCTACCACAAATGCTTTGAATTTTCAATACAATATGGGATATCCATTGTTGCTTCTCAAAAACATCAAATTTGGTGTTTCTATATAAATGTCAATACTAAGTCAAATGATTATTTTTTCTAGGGAAATGGTTATACGATATGTGACGGAGACAAGACAACTTATCAAACATTCGTATATGACCAAAACAAAAAATACAAATAGAAGCGACAATAATATCAAACACAAACAAAATGTGTTGAGAAAGGGAGGATAATTGCACAATGATTCCTAACATGCCTTCCTCCCTTTTGAAAATCTAGAGACACATTTTGGCGTACCAAGCCGAGAGACTCCAAGGCTACCATCATTCTCTTGGCCGCAACCAAAGAGGAAATTTGAGAAGACGTCCGACATGATGAAAAGATCACTAATTGTAAAGCTAAGGCCTAATGGGAGCTTCACCATGATGAAACTAATTGTGCCATTGATATGATGTTATACCGATAATATAGCTGCTGGTTAGTCAAATAAGTGCGTAGAGAGTGGAGAGAAGAAACAAAATGGAGGAAAATGAAAAGAAAATTATTAGAAGAATTCTTTGTATGCATTAAAAATTATTAGAAAACCCTCTTTTTCTTCGAGGGGTTTACCGCCATTTCTTTTTAATTAAGAAGTTAAATCTATGTAAAAATTTTTAGCACATGTTTTCAATTTTTGTCGTGAAAAGGCTTTTGACAAGAGGGTTGGCTGAAAGCATTAAAAATGGAATGGGAAGAAGGAGATATCTACAGCCTACTCAACACGTAGCAACAATGATCTAAACAAGTTTTGGAGTTTATCTTTTCCATTGTCCTGAAGCACTGCAAGCACTTTAAGAGATGGCCTTGGCCAAATACAAAAGCCCAGAGCAGACCCAAAACCCAGCAGAAAGTTAAAGCATATGATGGGAGGTTCTGTCTATTGTGGTTGCTTAGAAAGTTAGGATAGATTTTGTTTCCGTAGAGGAGACCCCATGTTTCAAGGTATCTTACACAGAAAGATATTTGTGTGATCTCATTGTTTCTATGATGTAAATAAACAATAAATTTTATTATTTACACTTTGTTGCAAAAGAAATCAATTTTACTTAATTTTTCCTCTATTACAGAGAGCTTATAGAAATAGTCCTCATAACCAATAGTGAAGGAGAACTGGTTTTTTTCTATTTTTAATATTAAAAAAAATAAAAGTAAAGAAGCGAAGTTCTCTTAACATCTGTTAATCAATTCACACGTGTAAGAGTTTAATTGTGTGAGACTGGCACATTATGGTAGGATGTACAGAAAAATGTGCAGGAAATCTCGGGACTCGTCTAATTAATACTGCCTCTACAAAACAAACGATATTCATTTTTTTCACTTTTAATTTTTATAATATTTTTAATGTATTGATGCAATCTTCTTCTGCGATAATAGAGACAAAAAACAAAGAAAATAAAATTCTTCCAAACGGGAAATTCCATGACGTGGAAAATATCTTTGGTCCATTAAAGGATATATGGGCGATACATTTGGGATTATGAGGTGCTTATACCTTTAATTAAATATTTACTAAAAAAAACCTTTGATCGAATGATTCCCTTAAATTCTGCCATAAGTTTACTTGGTATGAAGTATTTCCTCTAATTCTGCAAATTATGGAAGAAGAGAAGATGTAATACAGTCGTCCCCTTCCATAGAGCTATGCGCTTCTTCTTTTGATTTTGACCATAAATATATGTAGAGCCCCAGAACTATCACGATTGATCCAACAATACTGCAACAAAAAAAAAAAGGTTAAAGATTTAAATATCTTAAACTGTTTTGTGTCCTCATATATGTGCCTATGCTTGGCTAAGATTTCAAGGCATGAATGTGATTGGTAACAATATGAGCTAAATTGAAGGTCTCTGGATATGGCAAAGCAAGCATATATGGTACGTAGATGCATTAATAAATGTTTCAAATTTTAGTTGGCTCATTTTAAGAAGAGTGCAAATGCAAACATACGATTTAGAAATACCATATATGAGGTTTTGCATTGTGTGTATTTGTATTTGCACTCTTCCCAAGTTTGTTTGCTGTGAATGTATGAGAGGACATGGGCTCGGTGTAAATTAAATTTTTGGTTTACTTTTACTGTAGATTTGACTTTGTTTCATTTGTTTATGAGAACAAACATGATGTGTATCTCCACTTTATATGAAAGAGAGTGGTGAAAGGAGGAGAGTTATTTGCTTAGGCTCAGTTTGAAAGGAGTATAAATACAAATATTTAGAATGCAAAACCTTGTATTTTGTATGTATTTGTATTGTATATATTTGCATTGAGTAAAGTAAGAAATCCCCACTTTATATGAGAGAGAAATTGATGGAAGTAAGGAGGTGGTGCAAATGAGACAAAATATTCACTACTGCTAGCGAGTGAAAATGAGATAAAAGTAATATACATTTTATAATATTAGGTAGAAATGCAAATCATAAATACAAACAAGCGGATGCAAAACTGAATCAGGTGCAAAATTTCTATCTGATTCAGATTTGCACTGCATAAGCACCTATATATACTACTATACTAGAGGAATAAGGCATAAACAGAATCTATGTAGGAAAAGTTTCAACAAAATTGGGGCTGTTTCTACTGTATATTATTATAAAGGATTTGTGAGTGGCTAAGGGTGTAGATGAGAAGCCAAGTTTAACAATAACCTGAGGTAATCCTACTTTGGTTTGTCCATTGGCTACAACTTGTAGCTCAGTGTAAATGCTAACAAAATAGGGTTGAACCTGGCCTTCAAATTTACTATTTCAGATGGACCAAGAGACAGTGTCTGAGACCTCAACCAAAATGCCTGAAAAGAAAGAGTACCCAAAACAAAAGTACTTCCTGATCATGGAGTTGAATGTTCGAGTTAAAGAAAAGGGAAATTACCTTCCAAGGTACAAAGTGGAGCCCAAAGTTGTCTCCATGATGGCTGCGAAAACGAAGGTTAGCGGTGTAAATGCAGCAACAAAAATTGGTCCCTTGATAGACGCTCCCCATGTTAATAAGAGGTAAGCCAGCCCGCTGTTTAAAACTCCCTATATCACACAATCAATAGACCATATTATGGTTACCACTTAAGTCAATGCACGTAAAGCCTAAGTTCCTGATATATTAATATTGCTTCAGTCTATGCCCTGATCTAGCTAGATCTGGGTCCAATGCCCGGATTTCATGCCCACTGTTCTCTACTCACAGTCTACCCGTTTTGAATTGCAGCCACATATTGCTATCTTGTATTGTGAGATGTGCGGCTGCTGAGTACTGTGAGTAGGAAACATGGGTTCCATTTGGGAGGGCTTAGTTTCACACATAGTGCCCATTGGGAGAGCTGAAGCCGATAAGCTTCTGGCTGGACATCCTATAGCTATGTTTGGTGAAAAATCCGGGAGCCAAATTGGCTGTCAGTCATCCAGTTGAAGGGTTGTCCCCTCTCGGCCTTTTCGACTTTATACAGAGCACCTTGCCAAGATTTTCCAACTTCCTTAACTTCTTAGGCAGCTAAGCCGGTTGTCAATAAACATGGGTTATGTCATTTATGCAGCTGAACCAGCCTAGTTGAACCGAAGCTTTATTTTTAGCTGCTTTGAAGAAGCTACCCAAAAAGGCTTGTTCCGAGAGCCGCCTAAATGACTGTAGAAGAAGACAATTTGTTCTCAATCACTAATACATTTCTTTTAGGCCGTGTTTGGTTTGACAGAAAAAAAAGAGAGAAAAATAGAAAATTGAGAGAAAATTAAGGAGTTTCACAAACCAAAACACGGCTTTAAGGATTTCTATTGGATGAGTTACGTTGCTATAGAGCCCAAGCTTTCCGTAATGTTTTTTAAGTTTACATCTTAATTATAGAAGTTATGCACTATGGCAGAAGAGGCTGAACAAACTGTATCGATCTTAGTAATCAGAACCACCTAGGAAGGAAACCACAGGACCCATTTGTTCAAATTAATCAACTCATCTAGAACTACGAAGTTTTTTAATTATGGATTAAATCTTCTAATGTAGAGCAATTGCCAAAAAGAATTTTCGTCTTTGTTCTTATTTTTTGTTTTTTTCTATTTTGACTTTTCTTCGTCCGAGTCAGACTGATTTTTCTTTGGAGGTAGCTCTGACTACCAGATAGACACATGTAAGTAAAAATTTTGAATTGCCATGGAAAATCGGAGCAAATGGAGGAGGATAATCATGCTTTGTAGTCATATAACCTTCTTTTGTTCTAAATATGGTCAAAACTATCAACTCGGAAAGATCAGTACTTACACCAAAGACTATGCTTAAGAGCTCTAAATCCCATTTCAGCTTCCAATCTGATGCTTCACGGCTTAAAATTGCAGCCACTACACTTGTTTGTAATGTTCCAAAGAAGAACATGATTGCAGTCAACGAGAACTCAGCTGGATATATTTCCATCATGGGCCTCTGCAAATGCAAGCTACCATCAGAGAGAGAGAAAGAGAGAGAGAGAGAGGAGTTCTAATGTTCTATTTTAGGTGGTGTACTAAAGACTCACCAACATCAAAATCCATGCACTGTAGGAAAGGATGCCAAAAAGAACCATAAAGAGGCCAAGCAACCAATCACCCAAAGTTGAAGTGAGAAGAGAAACAGATGATCCACGCCATAGCATGAGGGTGAGGGCCCCAGAAACAGATAAAAGGGTTCCAAATATCTTGCCTCTACCCCACCATGTGTTTAGTTCAAGTGCTTCTTGCCTTGAGATTACAGACAAAATGTATGTGAACACAGGTACCAAGTTGAAAACTGAAGCTTCTATTGTGCTCGATATGAAGTATAAGCATCCCACTACAAGGTTTTGTGGAATTGTTATCCTACATAGTACAAAGAGAATGAGTTCTAGGAAATTAGAAAATCGACAATTAAAGATTAGTAGTCTTTAATTAGAAAATTAAAGAATAATAAGCATCCAACGACATGGCATTGAGTAGTAACTTTAATAGAAAAATAATCGGCCCTTGAAAATTAGTATCAAACAGACTCAAAGCTGATTTCTCAATTCTGATTGTGTGTGTGTGAGAGAGAGAGAGAGAGATACCCCACAAAAGCAAGTAAAAAAATCCACATTGCAATTGATTTTGTAAGGGGAGGTCTAGTCCTTCTGAAATGATCAACATCTCGTTAATTAGATCAATGAAACTTCAATTCAAAAACTAATTAAATTCTCTACTCAATTAACTGCATTTACCTTTCAAGGAAAAATGCCAAGACTGCCATGAAAATGGTGGCTAATATGAATTGATAGACAAGATATACACTGGAGCTTATTCCATCTACCAAAATAACCTTGCTTAAGACGATATAACTTGCAGCTATTAGCTGAACAAGGATCATAGCAGCATGTGGAGCTATCTTTGTGGCACCATTCTTCAGAGACGAGGCCACCATCTTTGCTCACTCTTCTAACTCCTCCAAGTGGGGAGTTCAAGAGCAAGTGATGGTTTCTTAGTTCCTACAATAATTCTTCATCACTCACTTATACTGCGGGGATGAAGAGCTAGCAAATGGTAGTTTATGTTGTTCATGGCGGCTAATGGCCGTTAGGTATTTTGATATTCTATTATGACCGTTAGGTTCTTCCTCTTTCTACAAGAATGCTCTGGTTGACTGTGGTGAGGTGGAGTTTACTTGCATCACGTCTGTGCAGCATTATATTTTCTCAGTAGCAGCCCCATGATTAGAGGAATTGTTGTAAGACTTGGATCGGAGCGGACAGTTAACCACGAAAATTGGGAACTGATGACATACAGTTAAGTGACGGTTTTCGCGGTTTGAAAAGACCAACCGTTCAATTAAGCGGTCAAATTAATTGTGATCCATCCCATTGAACAGTTGTCGAAAGTTTTACAACATTGATTGATGGTAGGGGTGTCAGCGGATCAGGTTAAGAGGTAAACTTGAGACCCTGTTGGATTAGTATTGGACAAACATTGAAATTTTGCAATGTATCGGGGTGTATCGGCCAATATATATTGTATCAGCGACCCTTAGATTTGCCCCTATAGTGAATGTTTTGGGGCTTGACTTTCAGGGGATAAACTACTGACACTTGAATCAATTTGTTAAAAATATTAAAATAGAAATAAAAGGCATCAAAGATATATGTCAATAGGCCCATTCAGAATATTGTGTTGGGTCAGACTTAATTGGATTTTGGATTGATTTGAGTTGAACAAGAACCCACACACATGCTAATCCCGTTCTGTTGCCATTGCATCAATTGAAATATCTGTGTACAACTGTACACACAAGTTAAGTAGGTTGAGATCATGGGTGTATATAATTTATTATGGGATGGAGAGGGTTGGGATCAAGGTTTTTAAAACTGACCCGGAGAATGAATTGGTCAGGGGTCTGGTTTCTGGGTTGAATGGTCGGCCTATTTTGATAAAAAATAAAAAATTAAAAATGGTTAAAACCGTTGAATGATTTGAACGACCAAGTCAATGGTTTACTAATCAAATCAATGTTTTTTTGCAAATATCCAATTTTAAGGAAAAATAGAACCGATCACCTAACAGATTCCCAGTTTTTCCTGTCCGACCATCCAATCTGGTCCAATTTTAAAAACGATGGTTAGGATCCATAGTCCTGATGCATTAAGTTAGGTTGGGGCGGATTTAGGTTGAGCCAAATTGTACCACCCTGATCCATTAATTGTCACCCCCAATATAGAGGGCCATGATCGACCAACTGGCACGTGGTTGAATGGTTGATCTAAGATGGAAGCGAAGATATAACTAGGTGGGACCTTCCCCTCCCCTGATCAATTTCATGACCTTGAAAAAAGAAGGATGAAACATGAAATAAGTGCTTTCAGATCTTGAATGGAACCCACATTAGAAGGGATTGAACCCGACCCGACCGTCTCTGTGTTCCAATAGTCCCATATTAGCACACCGACACTAGCTGCAATGTCACGGTTTGGTTTAAGACTAACCCAACCATCACCCGTGTCAGGACAATGCAGATTTACCACTTGACCCAACTCCCAACCCACTGACATCCATATTGTAGGGGTATAGTTCGGTGTAAGGCTTTTTTTTTTTTTCAAACCAAACTGATAGTATTGGTTTTTGAAAAACCGATAATCGAAACTGAAATGAAGCCAATCAATTAATCGATTGATCGGTTTTCATTAATCATCGATTTGGTTCATTAGTTTTTCAATTTTTTATATTTTCATAATATTATATAATAGATATAAAATAGTATATTAATAAATAATATATAATGCACATATATATTTATTTATAATATATAAATAATATAAAAAATATATAATATATATAAATATATTAATAAATAATATATTAATCACCGGTTTTTTATATTAATTAACTGAAACTGAACAGATACATTTGATTTTTCAAAAATCGAATTGATCGAATTAACCAAAAATTTTTATTCTCTCTCATTGATTCCGTTCGATTTTTTGATTTTGCATGATCACCCCTACCCTATTAAAAACATTATATGAATCTCAGATTCTCAGGCAACCGTCAATCAAACAATTTGTTTATATAAGTATTAAATATTAAAGAAAAAAAAAATAGGCTAAGCATTACATTAGAACATGCACGATGCTGTCGATGCATGTGGGATTCTGGGGGTTGAAACCAACCATTCCTACGTAAGACATGCAGTGTGGGTTCAAATAAGTCGGCTTCCGTGGAAAGGAGTATGACCGTATACCACATTGAATACTAAAAGTCTTCTGTGATATGTAACCAGTATATCCTTCTCAAGTTATCATCACAATGGTGGCTACTCGAGTAATTAATTTCTGAATTAGTTTGACCATCGATCCTACACCATCACAAGCGAAACGTACAAAGAAGCAAAGATCAATTGACCAAAAGTAGTCATATAAAACATATAGCAATTGGTTGAACAGATTAGATGTTTAATATAAGTTCCTTTTTTATAAAACTTAAAAGGTACTGGCCGCCCCTCAACTTTTACTAACAGATCCTCTCTTAGCTTTTTTTTTTTGTCCCTTTTTTTTTCTAACGCCTCATATCAGCGACAATTGAGATATTGGAGTGGTTGTGGGGCATGCATTTGATGGCTGATATGGGCATTATTATTGGTTCAACAGTTGTTAATACAGTGTTGTTAAGGCTGCATTTGGTATTATTTGTTTTAAGGATTTATCTATATTTGCAGTTACAAATTCAATGTTACATTTTAACTAAGTTATTAGAATAAGAAATGCCAAATGCAGTCAAAGAGTGAAATAACAGTGCACATTACGGTTGAAGTATACATAACAGTTTTACAACAAAAGCAGGGCATAAGACAAATTAGAACAGATAGGATGGACTTTAAGGCTATGTTTGGTTTGAAGGAAAAGTTAGGGAAAGGAAAGGAAAGGAAAGACAGGAAACTTGTGCAGACCTTGTATGGTTTTTTTATCTTTTTCTATCTTTTTCTATCTTTTCCTATCTTTTCTTTCAAACCAAACACTGCTTAAGGGACCGGATGGGTTGGAGACAAAACGTTGTAAATTAGGCTGGGCAATTTATCAACAGTGAATATATCTGTGTTCCATATACATGAGGGGAGCGGATTAGCTAGAGACAAAAATATGTGCGTCCAGCTGAATTACCTATCGCTAAGGTTCAAAGTATCGATACGATATGAGTTTTGATCGTATGGTATCGGTACTTAGAAATTGCCGAAACTCTATATTTTTTAGTTTTTTTTTCCAATTTTTGTTTTTTGGAAAGCTTTTAGCATGCTTTTTATTATTAAAAAAATTGAGGGTCCGAAATACCTGAAAACAGGCGTTTTGAACCGTATCTTTCTCAAAAAATACGATACGATATGCCTCGTATCGGGCATATCGTATCTAATGGAGGGTGATTTGACCCGACCTCCTAAACAGGCGACACGTGGACATGACTCGACATAGGTGACAACTCAGCATGATAGCCTAGCTACAACTTGGTGTAACGAGCTCGCTAAATCTATCGCAGGGCAGCTCGCTACACGCTAGCTCGCCAAGGAACCAACTCGCTGCATAATAGCTCGCCCAGGAACCAGCTTGCTACGGTGCGAGCTCAAGTACCCCGGTATGCTGAAAGGGAACACTCCAAGCTAAGTCTATCCCAGCTCGCGAGCTATAGTAATCAACTCGCTCCAATCCTTAGGCAAAATGATGGCCTTAAAGGCAACCTCAGGCGGAATCACCTCGGGATACCACCGGGAGCTTGCTACAAAGCAGCTCGCTAATGGGATGGCTCACTGTGAAGCAGCTCGCTATTGAGCGAAAAAGCATTTTCAGGAAGCTTCTTATCTGGCAAGACCGTATCCGTCAGACTGCACCACGACCCCTGACCGACGGTGTAGTCCCTGCTTGCCCAGTAGACTGTACCCACGTCTCTCGACAGGTGGTGGCGTGTCTGTCCTCTCCGGGTCGTGTCTCTCATCTAAATGGGTAGTATTCTGCAACGGTTACCTGCGCAGCCCTGGCAATAAACGGCTGCAGTAGATGGCCAGAGGCGGTTACACCCGATTTGGCAAGAACACCAGTATTTAAAGGCCCCGATTCCCAAGGGGTAAAGGGAATCTGAATCGAACTTGACATGAATTGATCTAGTGCTATCGACACTCTTAGTTCTCTCTGCATTCTCTATAGCTCTCTCAAAATTCTAACTTAAGCATCGGAGTATTCCCATTGGGCGAGCTCCCTGGGAATCCTTCACCTTCTTCTCCTTCTCAGGTGCTGTTTGCTGCCAGATAGGAGCGAAGCCCCCGCCAGCTAGGAGTGACCGGATCGTGCTATATCATTTGGCACCGTTTGTGGGAAACGCTTCCAAAAGCCTTCTTCCACCAAACTTACAGACTTACAGACTTAGTTTCTCATGGCTTCCTCCAGTAGTGCCGCACGCAGTGCAGAAATGAACACTATCGGGGAGCAACTCCAGGTCCCCGTGGTGTGTATTGGACAGTTTACCATTCCCCTCTCTGCGGACGAAATTCCTATCCTGAATGTGCCTCAGACAATTGCACCCGTGAATACTCTGCTCCCTTTCTCGGTTGAAACAACTTTCGCCGAACCCTCTCTCTATTGTTCCTCTGGCGACCAACCAAAACCAGCTCGAGGACCTGGTGCAGTGCATGCGGGCCATGCAAGCCCAAATGCAATAGTTCCAGCAGTTCTAGCTCTATCAGCAACAAGTGTTGCATCAAGTTTCTCAGTACCACTACCAGCAGCAGTTTTCTTCGCTGCCTCAGACTCAACAACCGCTTCCTCCTCGGCACCCGACCACGCAGCAGGCCAAGCCTCGCCGTCGGAACGAGCGTCCTTCTCGCCAAGGAGAGACCTCTCAGACTCAAAATCCTTCAAAGAGTCAAGTCTCATCCCACGGTAGGAAGGAGAGACCAGCTACCCCTGCCTCGAAGCCTGTAGTCAAGTCGGGGACCTCTCAGCCAACTAAGCCCG